CCGCTTCGCTGAGTACGCCACTTCTGCGGCAGCTGCTACGCCACCGACTCCGGCGAAGAAGGACTCCGTTGGTGGCGGTGATGGAAAGATCGTCGACGAGTTCACCGGAAAAGGTGCGATTGGGCAAGTGTGCCAGGTCATTGGTGCTGTTGTCGATGTTAGATTCGAGGAGGGTCTGCCACCAATCTTGACTGCTCTTGAGGTTATGGATCACTCGATCCGATTGGTGCTGGAGGTGGCGCAACACTTGGGTGAGAACATGGTTAGAACCATTGCCATGGATGGGACTGAGGGGGTTGTTAGAGGACAGCGCGTGCTCAACACTGGATCCCCTATCACCGTAAGCCTTGATTCTCATTCCATTTATGAATTGCTCTTCTGAGTTACCTTTCTATCTGGTATTATTGTTTGATTACGCTTAATTTTGGAAGCCTCAAATTACATTCGATTTATTGATTCTATTTCGTACTCAATATCTAGTATTCTTTGATTTGGCTACGGAAATCGGGGCTTTGAAAGATTGTTACTTGAAAGATTTGATACTTAGGTGGCCTTGTGAAGCTGTAGGTTGTTGACCCATCAGCTGGCCCTGTCTAACAACTCTTTTCAACAAGTTTACAATTACAATGCCTTTTAAATTTGTTTCTGTCATTGTAAATTTTAATGTGATGTTCATTGCGGATTCATTTGATATGATCTGGAAAAGAATTTGTCACTTTCTATGTTAGGCCTTTTTCTTATTTTGGCTTAAAAGAAGCACAGTTCGTCTTCTAACTATGCCTGTACCTAAAACGTAAAATGGGTAATATTAATGATCTGTTGTATTGATTATGTATTGGTAGTTTGCTAGATAATTTTTATGCTTCGAAATTAGTTTTTTCTTTTTTGAATATGGTTCATTACTTTTGTTTTGTTTTCCAGAGAAATATGGTTCATTTCGTTGTGGGTCATTTATGATAAATTTTCCCAATTGCGTATATGAAATGATGTACCAATGTCTAATTATGCTTTCTTTTGGCGTGTTTTTCATCCTGGTAAGTTTGTTTAGGTAGTCCATTATATTTTCTGAGTCCATTCTTTTTTCTCCTACATGTTTTGGTGGTCAAAAGCTCTCATTTTCTATTTTTTTGATGTGCTGTGTGCGCCCCATTCAGGTTCCTGTTGGTAGAGCAACCCTTGGCCGCATCATTAATGTCATTGGGGAGGCTATTGACGAGAAGGGTGAACTTAGTAAGAAACTGATATTGCCATTTATATCTGATCAGTACATAGGAGGGGGAACCAGTTTCAGTGCTTATCACTTTGATGAGCACCCTAAACTCATCCGAGCTCGATCGTCCATCTCTCGTTTGGATAGTTCAGATTTGATATTTTTTTTATTTTTATTTGTTCGAAATAATTATTTTAACATATATAGAATCTAAAATAGAGATAGTTTCTTAATTCTTAACTATCATTTTTTCAAAAAATAGTTTTTTCTGTTTAAAAATAAATAATTAAAAATTTTAAATTTGGACCATACAAATCAGATATAGATAATCCACATTTGATGAGTTTAGGGTGTTTATCAAGATGATGACCACTGAAACTGATTTCATAGGAAGGCACTCTTTCATTTCATAAAGATGCTTTGACTGACTGTATATCATGTCAATCGTGTAGAAACCGAGCACTTCTTGCCCATCCATAGAGAAGCTCCTGCTTTTGTTGAACAGGCAACTGAGCAACAGATTCTTGTTACAGGGATCAAGGTATTTTGTCTTGGTTCTGCCCTTTTCTTTTCCCCCATATTTGCCACTTCGTGTGACCGCAATTTGTTTTATGTCATCGCTGTTTTTTTGTTTTCTTTTTTTAATTTTCTGGGGGATATAGTATAATGACTGGATACTGATTGGCTTTTGACCGTTGACTTATAGGTTGTGGATCTACTTGCTCCATACCAAAGGGGAGGAAAGATTGGGTTGTTTGGGGGTGCTGGTGTAGGAAAAACGGTGCTCATTATGGAACTTATTAATAATGTTGCAAAAGCTCATGGTATATCCTTGGGATATGCTTGATTCATGATCCTTGACCTTTCTGCGTAATACTGAGTGCTTACCGTTTCCTTTGGTTAGGTGGTTTTTCTGTCTTTGCTGGTGTTGGAGAAAGAACTCGGGAGGGAAATGACTTGTACAGAGAAATGATTGAGAGCGGTGTTATTAAGCTCGGAGATAAGCAGGTGGACATAATGCATTTCATATGAATAATATATTTGCGATATTCAGTATTCTTCCACATATACTTATGTTGTCATCTATGCTTGCTTCATGATATCAGAGCGAAAGCAAGTGTGCTCTTGTGTATGGTCAAATGAATGAGCCTCCTGGTGCCCGTGCTCGTGTTGGTCTTACTGGGCTTACTGTGGCTGAACACTTCCGTGATGCTGAAGGGCAAGATGTGCTTCTTTTCATTGACAACATTTTCCGTTTTACTCAAGTATGAATGTTTTGAAATTCATATAAATTATCTAGCTGGTATTTCTTCTGTCCAATGCATATTTTCTGGTTCTATGATTTAAAGTGCCTTATAATTCATCATGCAGGCCAACTCAGAGGTGTCTGCATTGCTTGGTCGTATTCCATCTGCTGTCGGTTACCAACCAACATTGGCTACTGATCTTGGAGGTCTTCAGGAACGTATTACAACCACCAAGAAAGGTTCCATTACCTCTGTCCAAGCTATATATGTGCCTGCTGATGACTTGACTGATCCAGCTCCGGCTACCACCTTTGCTCACTTGGATGCTACAACTGTGTTATCACGACAGGTTTATTTTTTATGCTGAGGCTGTAGGCCGGTTGCTTTGTTGTTTAACTGGCATCTATTTACTAGATTCACTTGCCACTATTGATATCAAACAGATCTCCGAGCTGGGTATCTATCCTGCTGTTGACCCCCTAGATTCTACATCTCGTATGCTCTCGCCACTTATTTTGGGTGAGGACCACTACAATACTGCTCGTGGTGTACAAAAGGTCCTTCAGAACTATAAGAATCTTCAAGATATCATTGCCATTTTGGGAATGGATGAGCTCAGTGAAGATGATAAGTTGACTGTTGCCCGTGCACGTAAAATTCAAAGGTTTTTGAGCCAGCCTTTCCACGTTGCAGAAGTGTTCACTGGTGCCCCAGGCAAATATGTAGATTTGAAGGAGAGCATTAACAGCTTCCAGGTATGTCTGTTCTTACTGTTTACTCCCTATTGTGTTCTTTTTTAGGTTGTCTTACCTGGATATACTTGTTTACATCTTCCATACCATGTGATACCATGTAAATTTTCTAGATGCAATTCCTGTAAAATATTTTCCCTTTTCATTTGTCTGCACTTTCCTTGAGCAGGTGACCCAAAAAAGTAAGATTGAGTAAAATTAAGCTTAGATACCTGAAGCTTCACATTTGATAATAAAAAAAATTGATTTTTATGTTCAAAATTATAGGCGAGTTGATCACTGCTGGTGCTCTTAACCTTTTGAACAAGACTTCCTCCATGATTGTGGCCTTGTTAGGATTTCTTATGAACTCATCACGCATGTTTTGTATCCTGAAATCCATATGCCCAGCTTGTTTATATTATTTAGAACGCATGCATCGGCCTTTAGCTTTTAACATGAACCAGTAATCTGTTGGTCGTGTAGTGATTTTTTTGTTGCTTTGAATCTGATAGGGTGTGTTGGATGGCAAATACGATGACCTCCCAGAGCAATCATTTTATATGGTTGGAGGTATTGATGAGGTCGTTGCCAAGGCGGACAAGATTGCTAAGGAATCGACTTCTTAGTCACAGTTCTCCTTATATTTTAATTCTTCGGATGATAGAGTAAATTAATAAATGATCCAATGACCCTTTACCATACCAGATGTCGGAATCTCAATTTTTTGGAGTGTCATTTGCTCTTGTCACACCATTTCCTTTTGAATCTCGTTGCTTTATTTATTGCATGGTATGCAAGTTAACGGAGCCTACGGCTCCTTATCCCCATTATGTTGTCTAATAATGGTAAAAAGCAAGCTGTCATGATCATTTTTACAACTTCTTTAGCTGCTTGAGACTGAAAACGAGCAAGGATCCCCTAAATCGTGATCAAGAGGTATAATAATGGACTCTCCAACTTTTCTTTGGCTACATTCATGAACACACCCTTGCCTACAAAGTTGATAGAGGTGAAATAAGGGACTCTCCAATCATATACTAATCTTTTGGCTGAGTCAACTTGCTATGAGAAATGGCTAGCCAGCTCCGGCCATTCTTGTTGCCTCTGAAACCATTCTCAAGGGCAAATTGAAGGCCACGACAGCTGCCAGGCAGCGATGTGAATGACAAATCAATGGTATCAAAATGCAATATTAATGAATCACAATCACGGTTTGAATTATCATCATCAGATTTCCAATGTCACTTTCCTCTTCTGGGTTTTCGTCAAACCACTTCCTCAGTTATTGGTTTCTTCATCAACTTCTGTGGTCATCAGAATCCAGACTATAAAGACCTTGAATCCAGACGATGTGATGTTAATGACGTCGTCCTTTGTTGGGTTCTCTTGTGTAGGGCTAATAGCAAGAACAAAACGTTCAAGGCAGCACTCAGGATGAAGATACTAATACGTTATTATGGTCAACAAGATGCAAACAAAATCATGCTGTGAATAAGTTCCAACTACTTCACGACCTTTCTATGATGAGATCAAAGGGAAGAAAGGTTCATATGGGATAAAAACCAACTACACTATGACCAATGATTTTGAAGCGCCAGTATTGGAAAGATAAACTGATATCAATCAATCTTCCTTTTCCACTTGGTGAATTACTTCTACCCTGAAAGTGCGCCCGCGAAGTACATCTTCCACACATGACAAGATCCAAGAAAAAGGACAAGCTCACTCCAGGAAATCGTAAAACACACATTAGGCTTGAAAGCATATACGGATGCGTAATAGCATACCACAACAGAAACTACAAGTGCATACCCCATAATTAGGAAAGTCTTATATGGCTCAAATCCTTACACTTGATTATCCTGCCCTAGTTAAGTGGAAAAAAACTAATGTCCCACTCAAATAAAAATAATGTATCTATGCAAAACGAGTAAAAATAGAGTGTAAATTTAGCCTCTCCTTCTTACCTTGTGTTCAAGAGGCAGAACCTATAGCAACAATCTACCAAATTTAGCCATCATAACCAAACCAGAGATCTCTGCATAAAATCAAATGTATGATGTTGTAATATGAGAGCAACAGAAACACAGGCCAAAAATATAAAATTCAGAAATCAGAATAATAATTAAAAAAAAAAAAAGTATTCAGAACACAACCTCCAGGCTCCCAGCAAATGACACACCGACACAAATAAACATAACTGTCAAACCCGTACAGGCGAATATCAAAGGGCACCACAAATTAAAGAACAAGGAGGAAGTAGCTGCATTTTTATCATTTAATTGCAAATTACTTGAAATATTTTCAATGTGCTGAGAATGAAAAGATTTCCACGGTAGAAAGTCCAGCACAGGAATGAAACATGCTACACACTAAAAAATGACATCCTGAAGAAAATAGTAATTCGAACCAACAAAGGACTCTAGCAGATCAAACAGAGAATCAAATTTAATAGGGATGGCAGCCATACTAGAATGGGAAAGCAGAACAGAAGTTCAAGACGAATATCAGCAAAGAGCAAAATGAATCACCTTCAGGATTGAAGGTCGGGCTTGACTTTTTGGGGCTCTGTGCCTTCTTTCAGAAATATCTTAGACCCGGAATTGCTCAAACCAATGTTTTGGAGCAGCTGGGTGCATTTTGTAAACACGAGCTAGAAAAGCCTTTTCACTAGTTGCAACTAAGCTTGCAATGGAATAGTCTTTGGTACATAGACCCTTTTCCGCAAGCCACGTATGAAATCTGTACCTAGGCTTAATGCGGTTCTCTAAACCGAAAAGCAAATAACCTGGATATGTGTGTAGATACTCTAAAGAGCATCCCACTCCCTGACAGAGGAAATTCACCTTCTGCTCCAGAGTTTGAACATTTTGGTTTAAGATCTTAGGGGTCATTCTTACCATCTTACAAAGCTTGGAGTATCCAATCCCCAAACTCAGGAGGCAATCAAATCTTTCCTTTAATTCAATACTAGTGCCATGCAAGTGTGCTAAGAGATCAAAGATTGAAGCATTTTCCCCAAAGCCCCAGTTGTGTAACAAATTTAGTTTACTCATGGTGTGATTCGGGGTCCTCGAAACGTGAATCATCTCCAAGCCACTTCGGTATTCCTCAGCTCGGTCTTCATCAGGGTAGCTTGCTATATATTTCATTAGCAACTGATGATTTCCGTCCTTGATTTTATTAAAGAACCACTCGTGTAAGTCCAAAGCCCTCATTACCTGAGGCAGATTAGCAATTTTGTTTGTCCCCAATACATGATCATACTTTTGATTAACATCCTTCAGATTTTCAGTCTCCAAGCCGGAATATTCCAATAACTTCATTATGTTAATCACTGGCTTGTCTAAATTAAGACTCAACAATTCTGGGCTCTGAAGAAGCAAAGCAACTACCTCCTCGTTGTTTACACCAAATCTACAGAAATACTCAACCTTTTGAATCAACACCTCTTCATCATGTTCAAGAAAGATGTTTTTATTTCTTCCTACAAGCTCCACTAACCTTTCCTTATCACCACTTAAATCATAAAATACCCGAATTTTCCTACAAACCTCGTGCCATGAATTCATATTTCCCTCAACAGATAATGCCAGCTCGAAATCCAAAAATACCAACTTCAGAAAATTTAACAATGCTTCGCTTTCAGCACATACTTCACAACCCCCGCTCAAAGTGTAAGGGAAAGCTAAACATATACCAACTAAATGAACATTACAAAAACCATATTTCTTAAACTCCGATAGCTTAGACTTGAGCTCTCCCGCACTACTCCTAAATATGGAACTATTCTCCATATACAACTTACCCAACTCATTCCACGGAAACCCAAATTCGGAAAGCGCACCAGCCGCATCGAGAAGAGTCCGATCTTCGGAAAAGAAAAACTTGTTCGAAGGCAACAACCCAGAAATATCATTATAGTCTATGCCAATGCTTTCAAAAAAAAAATCGAACTCATTGATGGGGTGGTACCTGAGGAATTTCTTGAAATTTTTTGAGAAAGCGAAAGCTGAGAAATCTACCTTTGCTATGAGACTAGCAAGCGAAAGAGGAGAGTTCTTACTAATATGCTCGGCATAAACATAAGGCAAGCAGCTTGTGCCATGGAGATATTCAGTGAGAGCATTCTGGGCTTGTAGGATAGCCGATTTCTTGTACCTGGAGTTTATTTTTGAAATGTTCGGAAGCTTCGAGCTGGTAGATAGACGGCGAGCAATGAATACGGAAAACAAATTTGAGAACATGATCGCAAAAGTGGATTCTGGGTCTTAAATTCCTACATGGCGAGAAAAAGAATCGTATTTTTCTTCACTTTCTCCCCTCTTCGAAAAAAACAGACAGTCAAGAATCGTCTTCGATGAAGCAACTGGTCCACGGCCTCGCAGCTCGAACGCCGGCAAGCATATCATTCCTATTTTCCAGAACGACTTGTCCTGTCTGCAAAGCAAATAAAAAGCAGCACAAGATGTGAAATCTCATCCGTTGATGCAGCGGACGATTAATTATTGCCACGTGTCCCTCATAGTAGGAAATCTTGGCCGTCCATCCTGAGCAAACTCCAACGTTCTTCCCCTGGGCCCCCAAGTTGGCTGTTCCCATTAGTAATAAATCATGGCCGTCCATTATGATAAATCTGATACGTCCATTCTTTACCCTCGGTTCTTACTGTTTAGATCAGCCATGAAGTCCCCCATTCCTTCAGCATTTGCGTCCGTGTCAATGGTCTTTGTCGACGGGGAAAGGATAGTTCTGCGGGAGAAAACATCGTTGCGAAGGTGAGGCTTCAGTATGGTGCTTTTTCCTTCTATATGCGCCATTTCTCAGATTGTTTGATGATTCTTTTTTAGGAAGAAGAATATAACTTAACAAAAAAAGAAGAAAGAAAAATTTTCGGGTTTGCCAAGCCAGTGTGAAAACCGGAGGGAGTAATTTTGTATGTTCTTCGATAATGAATGATATGTTAATGAACTAAGGATTGTGTTAGGGATTCCTTTTTTTCCTTTTTTTTTTTTTGGCCCTTGGTATTGTTTGCCTCTTGTTTCGCTTCATCAATTCCTTCCTTTCTTCTCAGCCTCATTGCGGTGTCTGGGCTCTGATCTCCATGCCATCACGCGCCTGAATAATTCCCTTTGCTGCTGGTTGCTCTGTTCTCTGCCGGTTCTTTGAATTCCTTCCCACCTCTTCGATTCTGCTCTCTCCTTCATCGGATTGAGTCTGGTAAGGGATTTCGCTCTTTATTTTCATATTTTTGCTCCTTCTGGATCCCTTGGTTCCCTTTTCGTTATTATGATTCTGATATCCGTTTCAGGTGAAACCAATTTTCGTTTTTTAAACCATTGTTGTTTAATGGTCCTTCAGGATTGAAATCCTTTGTAAAGGTTCATGCTTGATCTCGTTCTTGTATTTTTCTGGATAGATTCCATGTAGTTCATTTTTTGGAGTTTGAGCTCATAAGCTATTGTTGGCTGTGTCATTAGGATATTTATAAGGAACAAGAATAAGATTCAATTTACCATATTGTACTTAGTATAGAGAACATTGCGCTGTTATTGAATCATGATCTAGGCTATTGTTAGGGTTGGAACTTAGAATTGGGTTCATAGCTTTTTACTGGACTAAGATTCAGTCGACCATTTTACGGTGGTTACTGACGGAGTACATTGTTATTTTTCAATTCATGCCTCCACCTACCTTGGCCAAGGCACTTCCACTTCTGTCTAGGAATACCTAAAGGTGGAAAGGAAATGAATAAATTATCATTTCCTTTGCCGCAATTTAGATGAGTGGGTGATGATTCTAAGAAAAGTTAACAACCACTGTATGAACTGTTGCTGCATTGTATTAATCAACTACTGGGAAAAAATGTGATGGACATATCTGTAGATTAGTGAAAAAATGATTATGTTGCTTGATTTTGTGGTAACTAACTTGATAAACAGAGTACTTACTGGCCTTCCGTAAGGTTTTGAAGGGGATGATTTTTTGTGTTCCCATGAATTGTGACTGACAGGGAAATGTGTCTCTGTTCACAAGTTATTTATAGTTGGGTGAGATTTTTTTATTGTTTGGGTTTTTGAAAGAAACTATGCTAACTATTGTGTAGGGGACTGGTGGGAAGATATTTGTGCATATTGCTAGGTTAGAGTGATAGCAATGTTAAGATTTAAACGAGTGATGTAAGTTGCACCGGATGTAGTTTTTCGTTTGATTTGATTCATGGTCTTTCTTTGTGGTTTCTCTGATGGATATCCAATGGAATTTGAATGCATTATTGTGTTGACTCTTTGTATGTGTTTTTATAGACGTAATTGCTCTTTTTTTTTTTTTTTTAATTGTGTCTTCAAATTTGTAATTAATCAAATCGTGCAATGTCTTTCAATTAGGAGTTCTATGTGGAAAATACATACATTTTTTTAGTCACATTGGGAGGGTTTTAACTCTAAATCTCTACACGTACTCCACCTGACCTTGATCACATGAGCTGATCTCAGGTGGCTGGGATTTCATCCTATGCATAATTGATTGTATGATTGATTAGCGTTATGCTGCTAATATTGAAATCAAGCATGATTTGTTTGTATTAGCTATCTCTACAAATTAAATGTTCATGTCTTTACACATTTTGATAATTTTGTCTCTATTTGCATATTACATTCTTATAATACTCTTATGTCTTGTTTAGTAGGAAGCATTGAAAATGAGGGATAGAGATTGGGATTGCAATTAAAAAAATCATTAAAATAGTATTTAGTAGGAGTAATTACTTGTTGTATGGAATTAGGAAAACCTATAGAGGTGGGATTGGGGAATACCACTTCCTTTGATGGTATTCTCCAATCCCATATATATGGGTTTGACTAATCCCATATAACAAGCAATCTCTTATGCTAAGCACTCTTTTAATAATTTTTTTCAATCCCAATCCCAATCCCTCTCCCTAATTTTCAGTGCTTCCTGCCAAAGACAACCTTAATGTTCAGATCCTTAATGCAGTGTATTATTATCGGTTCATTGTGTTTTCAACTGTAATAGGAAACTAAAGATGGTTCCTGAAGAAGTTATGAAAGCTATTTTCCCTTTGCTGGAGGGTGTTGATCTTGCTTCCTGCATGGTAGTATGTAAGCAGTGGAGAGACATAGCCCGAGATGATTACTTTTGGAAATGTCTTTGTGCCAAGAGATGGCCCTCAATCAACAAGCGACCTAATCCTCCTACTGTGAACTACTATAAGTTATACCAAAGCTTTTATAAACGCCAGCGTCGAAAAACTCTTCTCCCTCCCAGAATTTCCTTTGAAGATTTGGAGTTCTTCATTGACATTTGGGCTGAGAATAGATTACTTTTCTCGGAAGTGGTTCCTGGCTCCGTGCTGCAGCAAGGAGTTAAAATTCCACCTCCTGGAGTTTGTGAAATGCTTAAATATTACTTGGATGATCCTGAATTTAAGATGACATTACCTGTTGAACCTAGGATTACCGTATCTTCGAACCAGACTGCAACAGTTAGTGTCTCTGTGTTGGCTGGGCGGAAGGATTCAAATAAGGTTGCTCGCATCATTAATAAGTCTACGTTTGATTACATTGATCAGTCATCTTACAGGGCCTTGGCTTTTGATTATCTCGACATATCTCCTGCCTATCCCTTTTTGTCTGGCATCCGGGCATGGATCTCTCTGCTATTTATGGGAGATGGAAATGATGGAGCCATGGATGTGTTTGGTATACAGATGGATTTCTGTGATGTGGCAAACACCAAGGAAGAAGTCCTGTGGCTATTGGACATGCTTGATTGGAAGTAAAAGGCTTGAAGTGTGATGATAGATCCCTAAACTAAAATAACTGGAAGTAATGCCAACATCCTGCGCTGATCTTCTTAGAGGTTTTACATGACTTCATAATTGATATTATACCTTGAATGTTCGCATTCTGTAAATACTTTATATGCTCACCATCATTAATGAGTACAATCTTTTATTTATTTATTATTTTTTGGCTTGGATGCACTAAGTTGGCCAAGTTAGAAGGTTCCAACAAGATTGTGAGGGCTTGTGTTTTGTATAAAATTGAGGGTCAGTCATATGTTTAGGACTTGTAAATCATATGGTTTCTTATAAATTTTATATTGTATAAAGCTTTTTGGATAGATGTTGATACACAAATATATAGCTTTTCATTCATGCTTTTTTAACAGAAAACTTGCATATGGTTAAATAAAGCTTTTGTTATGAAGATAATTAGGTTGTGAGAAAACATAACGCCACTCTTGTTCAAATGACAAGAGCCACATACATAGTGCAACTATGTGAGTTTTTTACGCCAGCAGAAGTTGATAAATTTGTTGGAATTTTTCAATGGCATGCTTAATAAGTCGAGTTGGTTTAGATATGATAACAACCGTTAATTTTTTTTAACCTTTTTGCGGTGGTAATTAAGCACTCATCTTGAGAGAGAACACAATATGAAATTAATAAAATGAGGGAAAGCATGAATAAGCATCACTACTTGTCTCAATTTATTAATTGGCTTATTATTGTCACTGAAAAAAGGGAAGATCTGTGCCAATGCATAGGTTCTTAACATGAGTTGAAATCTGTCAACTTACAGAGAATTACTGAGTTTTTTTAAAAAAATAATAATTACTAAAAAGTTCTAATAACAAGTGAATAGTTAAAACTTGTTATTATTTTATATGTTCGAATTTGTTATTACAAGCTGCTTGATTGCTATGGAACTTTTGGGTGAATAATTTTTTTTTTTTTGAGACTTCATAGTAACTATCCTTTATATCTATTCATGCATGCACGTTTCGTCGGAGAAGAATAAAAAGTCTATGCTGTTTAGAGTTGCGAAAATTAGTGATTTCTGGGAATTTCATAACTTTCTTTGCAAAACGATCAAAAAGCTCATCAACAACTCCCTCTCCAAAATGCTTCTCATTGAGCACTTCATGCACAGCCCTCGCTGAGGAAACATAAGTTTCAATGTTTGGTAGAAACTTTCTATCCATTTCCTCGAGGCTTAAATCTTCGTTACTTTCAAGTATTTTCTTCAGATAATTCAGGTGTGGGAAGTATGTGGGCACATTGTAAGTGTCCACTTTTTCTTCACTTACTAGCCCCTGCAGTAATAAGAACCGTGTCGAAAACCAAAACTTGATTTAAATTCTCTTACTTAGCAATAAATGGCAACAATTAACAGATTTCTCGCTCAAAAGCTTACGTAACAAATGGAGTGAATTTCTTTAATTCTCCCCCGCTTTTTGTCTTAATTAAACAAACCCTCCTTTATTTTAAAAACATACACTTAAATTCAAGCTACAAAAAAAATATTTATGTTATGAGTCCCACATTGGGGAATCTCACAACTGTTGTGGGGTTTATAAGTTCAAGGGGCTCTTCCTCCTAATAGGCTAGTTTTTTGGGATTGGGCTCGCTTATGCTCATCACAATTTACTAATTATACCTTTTAAAAGAAATACATAAGTTTCAATGGATGTGATGACAAATTAAAATTGTAAAATTTTATAATATAATTAAAATTAACAATTTTTATAACATAGTATAAAGTTTGAAATCTTTTGGTTGTATAAAAACTATTTTTGGCAAACATAGATGTTTAAATAATTCTCATGTCAAATAGGACTATATTTGTCAAAACACAAATTTAAGAGTGAAGCTTAATGTTAATTAACAATTGGATATATGAAAATAAAATATCAAATATACAAGGAAGCTTTGTATAACATACATTTTAATTTTAATGAAGGCTTATATATGTTTTTAAAATAGAGAGAATTTTTTTGTAATTTAAGTAAAACAAAGAGCTTATTAACATATTTTACTCTAATGAATGTTAGTAGGAAAAAAAAAAAGTACGCATTAAAGAATTCAAACAATTACATACCAATCTGGCCATGTCCATTAGACAACTTCCCAACAGTTCAAGTTCTTTGCCAGCATACAAGTCTGTACTAAAATCAACCACATCATGAGCAGCATATGTCACAATTGCCATTAATTCATTGCTCACTAGCTCTTGTGCTCTGGCATGAAGAAATGTCTCCAAATCCATCTTAAACTGTCTCTTATAAGCATCTTTAACTTCACTTGGAGCATTAGTATATTAAATTCTTCCCTTGTTCCAAGCACACCACAGCTTCTATCAGTAAGCTCTCTGGGCAACTTAGATAGCCAATTCAGTGCTGAAGATAAATGAACTAGATGCAAGCTTTGTCCTGGAAACAAGCGTCCATAGAAAGAGCCAGGAATTCCAGCTGCAAAGTAGTTTCTATTGGGAGGAAGCTTTTGAAAGAGAGTGTTGAAATCATTTGAAGCTTGATCATTGAAGAAGACTAGGATTTCTGGGGTAGATTGATTTTGTGATTGGCATTGGATTCGTATTGCTTCTATTATGTTTTGAACTGCAATGAAGGTGTTTGGTCTAGTGGAGGGCCCCAAGTCAACTATGCAAATTGGGTTTGTAGAAGAAGCACAAATGGTTTTTAAATCAAATTTGCTAGCAATCGCACTTTGGAGAGGGTTCTTGACTGCTTCAATTGCTGATCTATGTACAAATTATTGTTTATATGATTATGTGGTTATATTTAAATGTTTTTGGAACTTTAGTTGTGGCTACGTAAAGTTGGCACAACAATTTAGATTATTTTTCTTCCAATAAGGGATGAAACCTTTGGCCAGAGAGAAAAAATTGACAGAACCAATAACGTGTGTGTGTTTGTGAAGGAAAAATGTATACCTGTAGCTGATAATTAATATTTTGCATGTCATTTTTAATATGTTTAAATAGATATAATAATAAACGTTATAGTTATAAAGATAAAGAATAAAATATTAGAGAAAGATATAATCACTTTAATAAAAAGGAATTACATGTGTAAAATGACAATTAAAGACCATCTAACAAATTTAATGTAATATAAGGATTTATATGCTATTTAAACTTGCGTATGTATGAATGATTGAATTGCACAGATTAAAAAGTAGTTAAAATTGATTAAAAATAATAAATATGTTAAAAATATAATTTATTTTCTTTAAAAAAACACTTGTATTTATGGATAGTGAGAGAAAGGGAGCAAAAGGATCGAGGATGAACAAATTGTTAATTAATGCAGTGGGACTAACTAATAATTAAAAGAGATAAAAATTAAAAATAGTACTAAAATTTTTTAATAAGTTAGTAATATCTCTTATAAATAGTAGCATCTTATTCTTATAAAAAAACAATTTCTTATATATAGAAGCTGATGGAGTAATATTGGATGAAACTAAGATCACATGTTTGAGAAGTAGGGTTTTGAGCATATAGCTTTGAGGACCATCTCCTCCCTTCATAGCAAATGATTCAAGAGATTCATTCTTCATCTCTGTTTTTCTTTTTTTAATTATATCTGCATGATTCTAGGATGGTTAAAGTCGGTGACAATAGTTTTCTGAAGAGTATAAGGAAAAAAGATTAAAAAAAAAAGGTTATACATAACGTTTTTAATTAAGAAGTGAATGATTGATCAACACTTTCATCCCTTCCCACCTATTTCAGTTATAGGATGCAAATTAGGTTGATGTGAATTTTTCTTTTAGGATACAGTTGGTGAAAACTCTTATGCCCCTTTTGGTTCATGGAATCTGTAGGAATGTAATGTAATATAATAGTTGGGAATGTAATGGAATGCAATGTGGATTACAAGGGTTTGTTTGGTATGTCGTGGGATGAATATATTATTTAACTAAAAAATTACTCTTTTACCCTTAATCACAACAAAAACTCTCCCCACATGATCAACATCATCATCATAGATCAAGCACAAACCACAACATAATCAAACCCAAAGAACGAGCCACAATCTGACCAATGAGTTTAAAGATGACTATTCGAAAACAAATATGGATAAATGCACAAGTTACTACTGATGCGAAGATGAAGATGAGGATTAGAGGAAGATCTGACTAATAAATATTAACTAAATGAGTGTTCCAATTCAAATTAATTTTAGATTTGAGACTAGGAGAAGAACAAAGGTGGTGATGTAAGGAGGAAGAGGATGATATCTGAGCCAAATCTACTACTAAGAGGAATAATGGTAGTGCTAGGAGATGAATGATGGTGGAGCAAGATCTATGAAAAGGTGTGAACTATGACAAAGAGAAAGACGCTTATGAGCATCAGAGAAGATGGTGAATGAGGTTCGTGGTGGAGGACACCAGTAAGGAGATGAGGAGGGAGGAAGGGCACATGAATAGAGATGGGTAATATGGGAAAAAGGCAGTGGGAATAGGGATTACATAGGTTTATTATAACCTGTTTGGTTCATTGAATGATATAGAATGTAATGGAATATAATGTAATGGAATAATGATTACATGAGTTTGTTTGGTACGTTATTAAGGAAAGACGATGCATAGACATAAAAATGTTTGGTTGGATTACAAAGAACATGAGAATAGGTAAAAATAATATACCAAAAGACAAAATTACCCTTATCTAAATGTTCAAATATATATAAAATTAAAATTGTCTATTTTTTTTCCTCCAAATGTATAATAACTGTATCCACACATATAATAAAAAATAATAGATAAAATTACCTTTATCCGTCCATATGTATAACACTTCAAAATATATATTTTTATATATAATTTGGCTCGTATCCATATATATATTAGTTAAAGTATCATGCAGGTTTGATATCTAAAATTGTCTCCATATGTAATGTATATCCAAATATTTTTTTATGCACCCACATATTATAACAACAACTATAATTTCTATATAAATCCAAAATTAAGTTAATAAGTCAATATATAAATTTAAACATAAGAACTAATAAGTTAAATCATGTCCATAATTATCAGTTCAAATAAAAAGATGTTGAGATAATGTCTACAAATCCCAAAATACTAACAAAAGAAATATTTAAAGGTGCTACTACTATATATCGAATTATCTATTCAAGAAGGCTATACACCCAAGTAGCCATCTCGTTTTCAGGGACTAGTGAGAATCCAACTGCCAATGATGAAGACTCGGTAATCTTAGAATGAGCCTTGTTAATCTCTCCCCATGTAAGACCTGGTATTCTCATAAGTTGCCTGAATATTTCCTTTGCCCTGCCCACATCAACAGGATCAAATCTTCTGGAATCCTTCCGCATCTCTGCAAATTCTTTACATAAATTGTCAGCAAACTTCATCATTGTGTTGTTCATGTTTGAAGAACATTCCTTCAATGCGTCAACGAGCACCTCTATGGCATCACGACTACTCCTTCGTTTTTGTTTTGCAGATAAATGGACATCAATTGGCTGCGAAGGTTGTTGCTCAAGTGCAATAGAATTTGTATCTGTGTTGTGTACTTGTTCAGCATTGACTTCAGCTTCAATTCTAGAATCTTCTTCATCATCCTCACCAAGGATATAGGCATATCTGCTCCTACTCCATCTGCATGATACTTAGCCCAAACATATGATAGCTCTTCAAAGTGGAATAAGCATCTATTCCTAAAATTTCTAACTTCTTTCTTAACCTGAAAAATGAAAAATAAATATAATTTTGTATGAAGAATGACTTGTTGCTTGTCTTCATCCATAATTTACTGTACCCAGCCAAAATAAAGTTATAGTATAAAATTTTAAGCAACATTTTAGATGGGATAATATAATCTCAATATATAACATAAACATGTTACTATAATTTCAAGCAAATCATATATATAAGCAAACATATAAATAAATTATTTAGTAAAAGCATGTTATGAATAGAAATCTAGAACCCAAAAAAATACAAAGAATAGGCACACACTAGTAGAAGATAATTACGAGCTTCATTTTTTTTGGGTTAAAGTTGTGATGATCATGAAATATAAATAATAGGTAAAAATTTTGTATTAGGAAAAATACTAATGAAGTTGGTGTTATATTGGATAAATATATTTAAAACATTTGATAAAGCTAGAGTTCTTATTTAAATTCATTCCATACATCTGTATAAAACATTAATCTTTTTTCTTGAAAAGTGCTTTTGAAAGAATGAGCTCCAACTTCTTAATAAGTATGTAGAATTACAATTTTGGAAGGAAAAAAAAACTGAGTTAATCTTTTTCTTTCAAATAGAAAATATTAATTGAAAAGGTTTGTTAAAAAATTGAAGTTGATTTGAAGGGTCGCCTGATAGCGACAAAAATCATAAAATGCTAAATAGATGGTTTGATAAAGTTTCATGTTTAACTGGTATAGGTCCATTGGTATGTTCAGTAAAGAAAAGCATACTCTTCACATGCATTCAATCTATTTAATAGTAGTTTATTATCTCAACAAATTGAAAAGAATATAGTGCACACATGAAGAAACAACAAAAGAAAACCCACACGAATGAGGCAAGGAATGATTACCTTTCTAGCGCAATGATGAGCAACAACTTTGTGTTAGCGGCAGTGAGAGAGACGGCGGTAGTAGTGTGAATACAATAGGCAGCAATTGATAGGGTTTATGAGACCACGAGGGTTCTACCAACAGGACAGTCGTCAGTGTCCCTATAATTCACAATGGGATTTATTATATGATGCATTACGTTGTCCATGACATCTTCTATGCCTTGAGTTGCAAAAATTTTTCTCTGCTTCAAAGTAGTGGCATCAGATCTTAAATCCCAAGAAAGGATGTTAGCATAATATAAGAAGTGCCACAACTCATGATTCAATGGAGTCTTGGTTTTATACTTAGAATGCTTTAACAGTTTTTTGACTCCAAGGGAACATGCAATTTGATCCAAAGTTGGTTTTAGAAACTTCATTAACTTGAAACTTAGTTGTTGTCGTGGCTTCTTGGGCTAATATTAGGTAAGGCAAAGTCTTATCAAATTGCATCCGGGGATTGAACGGCTCTATGGGAGAAATAAAATTGAGAAGAGCCTACCATGCTCACAAAATCTAGCTAATAACTAGAAAATTTTCTCTCGTGCGATACATGGACTAGAATATTTGATTAGATTTTAAATTCTAATCAATGTTCGCTTCTTATAGAAGTATGATTTTTTTTATTCATTCACATGAGATTT